CCGGACACATTTCCTTGGCTTCCTTTACATCATGAAATACAGACATTTTATCTTCTATATAGGTGGAGGCAGAACTACAGTCTCAGCAATTACTATCAGTCGTCTGATCGTGGTCAACCTGTAACCAAAGTATGTCAAGGGCTTCTGGGAAACTGGGGAGAGCACAGAGACCATTTGCAATAACCTCATTCAGATGCTCTCCATTTCTCCCTAAGCTTTGTTTATGCACTGGGACTGCAGGAAAGGTATGCCCACGGGTGAAACTATTAACCATAATTTTTAGTCATGCAATTCAAAATGCTCAGTCTTATTATAATCTTTTTCCTGCCTAGACACAGTATTGCACTGTCCTGCACTCTAGAAGGAAAACGCTAAATGGAAATTCTGATTATACAAACACCCCCCCCAAAAAATTTTGCCATAAAAGAAAGAAAGCAGCAAAATACCAGCAATAGTAATTTTCTGGGGGTGTTTTTTGAAGGAGGGGGAGCTACACCCTATAGTGCTTGCTCAGGGTTTATTCTGGATTCCATGCTGGGAGAGTGTTTAATCGCTTCAGGGACCAAGTGCGAAGCAGTACCTGGCAAAAGTAATTTGCCTTCTTCACCTAAGTCAGGCTAATGTAGTGTTAAAAACTGTCTGGGTCAAACAGCTTTGGAGAAAATGAACGAAGGCCTAAGACAGGAAAAGGTCCCTAACAACAATTGCTCTGGGGCACTTTAAATGATCTTACATAAAGGAAAGAACACAACTGGGTACTGCTATTTAACCCATTATATTACATTAATTTAGGAGTTTTGCAGAATAGAAAGCTTAAAAGAATTGTTCTGTTTTGTTGTATTAAATAATCAGCATGCCCTCTAATGCTTCGGGCAAACAACATTATAATCTTTTATTCAGTGAAAACAGGTACATAATTAAGGGGAGAGGCTTAGACTTCACTATTAGTTCTTTTGCCGATCATCTCTGTGCCGCTGTCAACAGTGGCTTCCCCTATTTCCACGAGTCCTGTTATTCCTATTTGTGTTAATATTCAAAGTTCATCTGCTCTGCAACATAAATACTGGTTAGAAGAAACATCAAAGATTGTATTTCCTATCTGTGTCAGAGAGGCTGAATTAATGATTTTGGTTTTTTTAAGCCACACCTGGCATTACTTGGGAGACTGCACAGTGCCAGGGAGCAAATGCCAGGTCCCCATAGTGCTCCAGCCCTTTGTGCCATCTTCCTGACCCAAGACTCTTCTTTAAACAAGACACAGAAGGGTGAGAGTTGGGGAAAGAGAACTGTAGGATTTTTCACTCTTTCTAAAAGACTGATGACTGGGGGCTGGAGCAATAGCACAGTGTGTAGGGTGTTTGCCTTGTAAGCGGCCAACCTGGGTTCAATTCCCAGCATCCCAGATCGTCCCCTGAGCCCTGCCAGGCATGATTCCTGAGTACCGAGCCAGGAGTAAGCCCTGTGCATATCGCAGGGTGTGATCCAAAACGAAAAAAAAAAAAAAAAACAGAAAAAAAAGAAAGAAAAGACTGCTGACTTACAAATATTACTTTCACATATTCTAATTAGGCCATCGAGGATGCCCACTTTACGAAAGCCTGCACATTCAAATACATGGCGCGATGGCTTAGAGGGAGATTCACCAGACATCAATCACGGCTCCTGCAATTCTGACACATCTTGCAAGGTACAGGACAGAGCAGCTCCATCTGAAGCATTTCCAACATCAGCCTCCAAGATGCAATGTAATCACGTTACAAAACATATCAGAATCAAAGAGAAGGGATTCACTCCGTGGGCGGGAAGAGAAAAGAAATCAATAAAAAAAAAAAAATTAAGTTTCTGCTCAATAGCTTACGAATAAAAAAACACATTAAATGCTAACCTGCTCAGGTAACATATGGCATGTCTCCTATTGGAAGCACTAAAACTCAGTGGAGGCATATAGCAAATGCTTAATTAAACTATGTGCAAGATAAGCTTTAATGAGGGGGCTGGAGAACATGGAGGAAGTATTAAAAACAGGCGAGGGTGAGAGAGACTGAATTTATCGTTGTGGCTTCGGGGAAAGCGTTGGAATCCACTTAAATTTTTCCGGTTTCATAAATTTTCTTGCAAGGGTATTTTTTAAACATGTAGGAAAGCCAGAACTGTGTCCTGTTGTCATGGGTGCTAACATTCTGCTTTGGAAAGTGGAAATCTTACTTAAAACAGGATTCAACACATGGATCCCACACCTGCCCTACTGCTGATCCGCTGGGAAAACTCTCATGCCAGGCTGAGATTTTTACACTCTCCACAGTTCCTTGTACCCCAACCAGAACTCAAGTGCAACCTAAAAGTCCGCATCCTTCTGAAAGGAAACAAAATTACAAGAGCTTCTGGTCAAGACCTCACAAAACACTGTTACCCTGTGGGTCAACCAGATAAACATTTCCGGAGCTGGTGGCAACTTATGAAAGGGGGGGTGGGGGTCCCCAAACAACCTGCAACTCCCAGTTTAATGCAGGTTAGGAGTGGCAGATTGCAGCACCTCTTCTTCTCACGAAGGTGCACTTGAAGCAAGCCTTGAGCTCGGAAGTCGCAGGAGCACCCACCCCTACTCCCACTGTTGCACTATTGCCCAGAGGGGACCCAGCCCGCCAACAGAGGTGGCCGAGTCCCGACACGCGGCTCGGGAGCGCCCCCTGAGGTCCAGCGGCGTCGCGGCACCTTCGGAAAAAAAAACGGAAAACCAGCGTCTCCGCCGCTCTGACGTTTTAACTTTGCCTGGTTGCAAAGGCTGCGGCAGACGCTCCAGTGCCACTGTTCCCAGCCCCAAGCTCTCTGTCCTGCGCCTCTTCCGGCCTCCGCTGCCCCTTCCGACACCCTCCGGCCCCCGGGCCGAGCAAATGGGCACCAAATGACAATGCGCAAGAGACGCAAACTGTCCAAGCCCCACGAAGGTAGCATCCCTGGCAGTCCCATTGTGGATTCCTCAGACACTAGGAAAAAAAGGAAATCTCAGCTGGTCCATTGACTGCAGACCCCAGCATTTGGGGCAGGGGGTAGGGGGCTTGATTCGAAACTCCTCCGCGTGCACAGACTACCTCCCAACACCCCCCCCGCCCCCGTTTTCTATTCGAGTAAGACCCTTCCAAGGCTCAGCCCCAGGACGCACACCTGAGCCTACTCAGTTGGCAAGTCCACGGCACAGCAGCAAAGTCCGCAAGAGACAGATGATTAATGCGAATCGTGAACGTGTTCTTGAAAAGGGGAAAAAGAGCATTTTGAAGCGGAGAAGTCCACGCCACCTCCACACCCCAGTGGAGGCTGGACACTGGGCATACGCCAGGCCTCGGGGCGAGTGTGGACGCATGTCCTCGCTCGGCATCGGGGTGGCTTAGCAAGGAGCTCCGTGTGATCCCCAAGACTGGGGGTAGGAGGATGAGCAGAGGGGAAAGGGGTGCCTGAGGGGGCGGCGGGGGGCGTGCTTTGCGCGTCTCACTGCCCCTCAAGGCCATCCCGGCGCTTGCGAAGAGGACACTCGTTACCAAGTCCCCATGCAGGTACCCAGGCGCAGCAAGAGCTCCTGCGCCCTGCTCCGGGGGAGGCGCACGACGGAGCTGGGGGATCCCGCTGCACCAAAATCCTGGGCTGCCTGTGGCCAGGCGACGGTGACCAGAGAGAAGAAATCTCGGAGCTCGTCCCTTTGCCTGGGTTCAAATAATCCCCAGCTCCGGATATGCAGAAGCTGGCAGAGGAAGGGGCTAAAATAACCGGGATCTCTCTTGTCCTTAGGGATAAAAAGCGAATCGCCTCCTTCTCTTTCCACCCCTTCCCCAGGTTAGTTAGGGCAGAGGACGTGGCCTCCACCCTCGCAGAGGGGGACAGGCTGCATCCAGGGGGCTCAGGACAGCAGCAGCGGGAGGTCTCCTAGAAAGGATCTGGAAGCATCTGGCCGCGACCCTCCCCGTGAACAGAGATGAAGGGAGGACACTAGCGGGGGGCTGGAGCAGAGGGTCTCTGAGTCGCGCACCACAGTCATGCGGTCATTCATTATTGTCATCACTGGCCAATATTGTTTCTGGCAAACCTGGCCAGAGAGGCGCCGGTCTGGGTACAGACCGCCAGCCGCGAACTGCCTGTAAAAGGGCACAGAGGAAGGTGGGCAGAGCGAGTGAGCCAGGATGAAATCCGCCTGGGCGCTTGGAACGGCCCAGCCGCCGGCCACCCTCCACCCCTCGGCCCGACCCAGTGGAGCAGAGCTGCAGAGTAAAAGTGGGGGGATCGGGGTGAGGGGAGATGCAGCTGTTCCTGTATCGTCCGCACCCGGGTCCCCGGGGCCGGGAAGGATGCCTGCCCGCCTCGCGCCGGCACCGAAGCGCCGCCGGTGTCCCGGCCGCCAAGACTGGAACGCGGGCTGCTCCGAACATCCCGTCCTTTGAGCCAGCCTCCAGCTTCACAGCTCAGCAGCAGCCTCTTCCAAAGGTCGGGGACCGGCAAGGCAATCTTCCCCCGTGGAGTTCCTTCAACCCCCGCCTGAACCAGGGGCGCAGCCGGGACTTCCCCCGAGAGGCATCCTCCCCGCGGCCGGTCTCCCCAACCTCCCGCAGAGCTCGTCCCTACGGATCCGCAAAGGATCAGCAGAGTGAAAACCCTTTTCTCCCGGCTCCAGCTCCCTAGGCCCCCCTCACAGCCCCAGCAAGGAGCAGACCCCTCAGGCCTCTAACCCCCCACCCCCCGCCAGATCCCACCCAGCCCCGGCCCCGGCTAGTCCCCCGCGCCCACCCTTTCCAACCCTTTCCAACCCGAGTCTCCGCGCCGCCAGAGCCAACGGAGCGGATCCCGCTCTCTTTCCCCGGCGCCCGGACCCCCTTCACCCTCTCCGGGGTCCCCGGGGTCCCCGGGACGGGCGCCCGAAGCTCCGCGCCCCGGCCACAACTCCGCATCCACCCCACCGCGCGCGCGCGCGCGCCCCCCGCGCGGGGTCCGCGTCCCCTAGGCGGCCGGCCACTCACCGGGGAAGCACACGACATAGTGGAGCACGGAACTGGTGATTTTCAGGAACAAAATCCACCAACACGGTTCCAGTAACCTCCGCATGTCCGAAAACGCACATCGAAAAGAGGGGCGAGCAGGGGGTGGCTGGCTAAACTTGTTGAATAAGTTCTCGCCTCCGTGCGAGCCTCCGCGATGCCCGGGCTCTGCCCCTCCTCGCCCGCGCCACCGGCCCGAGTTTCAGCCCCCACCCCGGGAATCCGGGAAGCCGCCGAGCGCGCCCCCAGGAAAAAAAAAAGAAAAAAGAAAAATCTCCAAAAGTGACCGGGAACGCGGCGGAGCGGAGGCACGCTGGGGACGACGGTCGGCGAGGAAGAAGGGTGGCTCGCTCTCTCCGCTCCGAAGGGAGCGCGCGGGGCGCCCGGGGCGCAGAGTCGGCGGCCGGCAGCGATGCCCGGGGCTGGGCGCAGAGTCGGCGGCCGGCAGCGATGCCCGGGGCTGGGCGCAGGCGGGGAGCGCGGGCGGCGGCGGCGGCGGCGCCGGCGAGCGGCCGAGGCTGCCCAAGTTGGGGCGGCGGCGGCGGCGGGGCTGAGCGCGGCGCGGCGCGGCGTCTCCCGGCTTCAAGCAGGCAGCTCCTTCCAGGGCCCCGGGAGGGAAGGAGGCATGTTCGCGAGCGGGGACCCGGAGCGGAGCGGCGGGGAGAGCGAGCGGCCCCCCGGAATAGCAGCGGCCCGAGGACCACACAAAGGAGCTCAGAGGGACGCCGGGGCGCGGGCGCCTGGTTCAGTCCATGCTCGCGAAAGTTGCGGCTCCGGCGCAGGCTGGGCAGGACTGGGGAGCGCGGCGCTGGAAACTGGCCATGCCTCCATACAGGAAGTAACATGTGAGCATGGAGCCTGGCAGCGACTTTAAAGCCGGCGAGCCAGCCAGCCAGCCAGCCAGCCAGCCAGCCAGCGAGCAGGGCGCGCGCGAGCGGGGCGCGCGGCGGAGGCCCAGGCGCGCGTCCAGGGCTGCGGACGCCGGGCGCGCGCTCTCCGCGCCCTTAAAGCAGCCGCGCGCCGCTCCCGCCGCCCAGGGCTCCCGCTGCCACCCCGTGGTCCCCGTGTGCCGCCCTGGGTGCCGTGGGGGGGGGGTCTGCTGCTGCTGCTGCTGCTGCTGCTGCGGCTCTTTGGGGGTGGGGGTGGGGGTGAGGGTGCGGGCCGGGGACGGCTCCGGCCCGGGTCTCGGAGGGAGGCTGGAAGGCCGTGCCTTCGGGGATAGTCCGATTTTATTTATTTTTTTAATTTTTTTTTTTTTTTGCCAGATTCCCGTTCTTCGAGCTCTTAAAGACGCCGTGCTTTGCGCGGGCTTAGGAAAGTGTGTGTCCCCCACCACCACCACCACCACCACCACCACCACCACCACCCCCGGCCCGCGGGGATTGCTCGCGGATTCGGGAACTTGAAGGAACCCTAGATTGAGGGATGCACGGAGGGAGTGCAGACGGCTGAGTTTTGGTGTTTGGATGGACGGGTTTTTTTTTTATTATTATTATTTTTTTTTTTTTTAGGGTGAGCGGTTTCTCGGCCCCAGCAGCGTCCCGCGCCTTCCCAACTCGCGCCCCCTGCCCGTTGCAATCCCCCACCCCCCCACCCCAGCCCAGAAACAAAGCCGAACGGCCTTTGCGCTCGGGTAGCAACGGGATTTCATTTTCCTTTCTTCCTCTCTCTTTTTTTTTTTTCCTTTTTCTTTCCTTTTCGGGCTGGCTGACACGGGCCGCGTCCAATGACTCGGGAACGGACCGGGGGGGAGGGGAAGAATATCGATCCTTAGCCTTGCAAAATCCAGCCCTATCCCGGACCCACACCCTTTCCCCGGTGCCACGATGAATTTTTCCGCGGCGCGTGGCGGACTTTTCCCAACTCGCAGCTCCCCCCGGGAGGAGGGACGGCTCCCAAACTCCGTCCCGAGGTGGGGAGGGCGCAGGAAGCGCGCCTCGGAGCCCTGCTGGGTGAAAGCCGCGCCGCCGGGCGGGACCGATTTCCTGGCAGCTACTTGGGGAGCGGCCGCCTCTTTTGCAATGGGGAGGGGGGAGGGGAAGCCCGGGCTTATCTGGGATGTGTTTTGTCCCTGGGCTCTAAGGTGAGATCTTGATCGCTCAGCTTTCTAAAATGCGCAGGCGTTTTTCCCCCCACTCTTGGCTGGTGCTGAAAGTGGGGGAGGCGAGCTTTGGATTAAACGTGCGATCGAGCCAAGGCAATTAGCCACTTGTAATTTTTGCCTAATTTTTCAGCCTCTATCTCGAAGCTCTCTCGACAATGTTTTTAGCGTGCCCCGACTGTTTCAATCTCACCCCTTACGCGCGCGCGCACACACAGGGTGCCCCACCCACCCATGCATCCCAACCGGATGCTCCGTTTTTAAATAATATACAGATGTTCGAGCTCCTCCCGCAAGATGTGATTAGGGAAGCAGTTTCGCACCCACACTTCCAAAAGCAAAACCTTTGAAAAGTTACATTTGGGATTACAAACTAATAAAATCCAGGAAGTTCCCAGGGAGGGCCCCTGCTCTATCTTTAGCAGAACGGGGGGGGGGGGGGGTGAACACCCTCCCCCAGGGTGAGGAATGAGTGGAGTCTGTTTGCTTTGGAATTTGGTTCTTCCTGGTTTTGTTGGAATCCTGACTCCCACTGAAATGCTTGCTTGCCCTGGGTCCGATTTCTTGGGGGCGATGTGTGAAAGGGACATCCTTCCAGGTTACATTCGTTAGAATGATCCCGAGTTCATCACTAGAGAACCAGTGGAAATGTGGGAACATCTGAGCCAAAGGTAAAGTAATGGAAGTTAGGCGGTTGCCTTCCACACCTCCACCTTGTTGATACCCCAAAACTGTTGGGGTTCCCTGGAACACTTCCAGTGCAGCCCAGAGCACGGTGTGTCAATACAAATGGATCCTTCTTTGCAAAACTGTATTGATGGGGCTGGAGCGATAGTACAGCAGGTGGGGCATTTGCCTTGCACATACATGGCCAACCCGGGTTCGATTCCCACATCCCATAAGATCCCCTGAGCACTGCCAGGAGTCATTCCTGAGTGCAAATACAGGAGTAACCCCTGTACATCGCCGGGTGTAACCCAAAAATCAAAAAAAATTTTTTTTTAAAAAAAGTTGTATTGATGTATTGATAAATGCTGCCAAGTTGTGGACTGTCGACTCTATCTATGGGGCACTGTACTCAATTCTTTCCATAAAGTCTTCAACATTTATTGGGTATTTTTTAAAAAGAAAAAACATATGACCTTCCTGAAGTTTACTTTTCAAAGTGACCACAGGTTCTCTCACTGGCTTCTTACAATTTAGTCAGAAGAATTCTTTCCCCACCCCCATCTGGTAGACAAGGAGACATGTTTGGAAAAGTAAAACAGTAGATCCCTACCCAGCTCAGAAAGCAGGGGAAACCCCCTGGGGTTAAAGAATGATCAAGCATTACCTTATGCCTCAGGAAGCTCCACGTTCAGAACTTAGGTCTTGAACTGGTGACTATACTGGATTAAAGTTCCTGTCCAAGCTTCCAAGGGTCCTGGAAGCACTCTTCCTTCACAGGTAGGCCCTATCAGTTCCAATTAAAACTAAAACAAAGGGCCTGGAGGGAAAGACAGTACAGGAGTGAAGGCACGTGCCTTGGTTGTAGCCAGGACCAGTTCAGTACTCAGCACTGTACCATGGTCCGCTGAGCACCCCCAGAAGTCACTCCTGAGCTCAGAGCCAGCACTATTCCCTAAGCCCCACTAGGCAAGACCTCAGAAGACAAACATGGTGCCAGAGTGGTAGTACAGAGTGTAGGGTGCTTGACTTGCATGTGGCCAATCTGGGTTTGATCCCTGGCATCCCATATGGCCCACTGACTGAGCCCATCAGGAGTGATGAGCGCAAAGCCAGGAGTAACTGCTGAGCAGTGCCAGGTGTGACCCAAAAACCAAAAAATTTCACAACCAACCAATATAGGGTGCCTTGGCGTTTATTCTGCAACCAATTGCAGGATGCTTCACTGGCTAATGCTGTGAGACAAAATAACTTGGTTGTGATTCTGCCTTACTCCCATTTGCTAAAGATTTCCACCGGGGGCTCCATGATACTGTAAACACCCAAAAGAATTGGGGTGAGGGGCTGGAGCGATAGCACAGCGGGTAGGGCGTTTGCCTTGCACGCAGCCGACCCGGGTTTGATTCCCAGCATCCCATATGGTCCCCTGAGCACCGTCAGCTGTGCATGAACCAGGAGTTACTCCTGTGCATCGCCGGGTGTGACCCAAAAAGCAAAAAAAAAAAAAAAAAAAAAGAATTGGGGTGAAAGAGCTAAGAATGCCAACAAGAGAGAGTCCCCCTGTCAGGAGATTTAAAAAAAAAAAAGAGTCTGAGGAGAAAAAAAAAAAACGATGCTGTATGACCGGAGAGATAGTACGGCAGGTAAGGTGTTTGCATTGCACAAGGCTAACCCAGGCAAGGGAGCGAGCCCCACTAGGACGGATCCCTGAGCACAGAGCCAGCAGTAAACCCTGAGCACCACCAACCAGTCCAGAAGCCGAAAAAGAAAAATCAGATGCTGTGTTAATAACAAATTTTCCCCTAACTTAGTAAGTAAAGTAAAGTAAAGGCCCTCCTGTTGATCATCGATTTGCTCGAGCGGGCCCAGTAACGTCTCCATTGGAGACTTTGTTGTTACTGTGTCTGGCATATCGAATACTCTCGGTAGCTTGCCGGGCTCTCCGAGAGGGGCGGAGGAATCGAACTCGGGTCGGCCATAACTTAGCAGCATAAAACAATACACTTGTTGAACAGTGTATGTAGCTCAGCACTTGCCTTACTTGCGTGAGGTCCTTGTTGTGATCTCTGGCACTGCCAAAAACAAAAACAACAACAAAAAAAGACATGCGCTGTCTTAGAGTACTTCGATCAGAATTTGGGTCCCAGGTGGGCCTTAGTTTTGGCTTGTTGTTTGGTTTCATTGTTCTGGAGCCACAATCAGTTGTGCTCAGGGATTACTCCTGGCTCTGAGCATGAGGACCAAGAAAGCAACTTCATGACAGGCTACTAAAAGTTTTCAAATTAGCTAGACCCTAGTCTCAGGAACAGGCCCTTGCAGCTTCCCCCAAAAGAGGTAATCATCATAAGACTAATCTTGGGACCCCGTGGGGAGGTCACACTGCACTGTCTCAGCAGTCTATCT